CTTATCATTTCCACGAGTCGAGTAGGATCAGTATAAAAATCAGTACAAGAAACGTGACGTCATCGATTCGTTGAGATTTGACGTCATCGATTCATTGAACCATGACGTCATCGATTCATTGAAACATGGCGTCATCGATTCGTCATCATTTGACTGGTTTCGTCATGTCAAGGACGTGTGGCTTATCTTTATTGCAATAGATAAACTGTTATTGCCGCATAAAGATAACTATTTGGAAGAAGAAAGAGGAGACGAGAAGGAGTAAAATTAATGAATATGTATGTATACATACATATATATATATATATATATATATATATATATATATATATATATATATATATATATATATATATATATATATATATATATATATATATATATATATATATATATATATATATATATATATATATATATATATATATATATATATATATATATATATATATATATATATATATATATATATATATATATATATATATATATATATATATATATATTATATATATATATATATATATATATATATATATATATATATAATATATATATATATATATATATATATGTGTGTAATATATATATATATATGTATATATATATATATATTATATATATTATATATATATATATATATATATATATATATATATATATATATATATATAATATATATATATATATATATATATATATATATATATATATATATATATGTATATATATATATATATATATATATATATATATATATATATATATATATTAATATTATATAATATATTATATATATATATATATATATATATATATATATTATATATATAATATATATATATATATATATATATATATATATATATATATATATATATATATATGATATATATATTATATATATATATATATATATATATATATATATATATATATATTATATATATATATATATATATATTATATATATATATATATATATATATATATACCTATATACATACATATATAGACAGACAGCCAGACAGATAACCAGACAGACAGACAAACATACAGTAAGACAAAGAAATCATAAGGCACTTGACCCAACATCTTGGCCCTGTGCCGCTGTATATGGCCCTGTAGCGTGACACCCGATCGTTAGCACTGAGTGGCCATTGCTGCGGATTCCAAATGCGAATGGGGAAGAGGGAGGAAGAGAGGAAGAGAGGAGGAAAGAGGGGGGGGGGGTGCGTAAAAGGATTCCAATGCGAAAGGGAAGAGGAAGGAAGAGGGAGGAGAGGAGGAAGGGGGGGTGCGTAAAGGATTCCAAATGCGAATGGGGAAGAGGGAGAAAAAGGAAGAGAGAAGTGAAGAGGGGGGGGGGTTACGTAAAGGATTCCAAATGCGAATGGGGAACAGGGAGGAAGAGAGAAGAGAGGAGGAAGAAGGGGGTGGCGTAAAGGATTCCAATGCGAATGGGGAAAGGGAGGAAGAAGAGGAATAAAGGAGGTGGAGGGGGGGGGGTTGGTAGGATTCAAATGCGAATGGGGAACAGGGAGGAAAGAAAGAAGAAGGTGGAGAGGGGGGGGGGTTGCGTAAAGGATTCCAGATGCGAATGGGAGAGGGGAGGAAGGAAGAGAGGAGGTGAGGGGGGGTTACGTAAAGGATTTTCAAATGCGAATGGGGAAGAGGGAGGAAGAGAGGAAGAGAGAAGGTGGAGGGGGGGGGTGGCGTAAGATTCCAAATGCGAAATGGGGAAGAGGAGGAAGAGAGGAAGAGAGAGGGTGGAGGGGGGGGGGTGGCGTAAAGGATTCCAATCGAATGGGGAAAGGGAGGAGAGAGGAAGAGAGGAGTGGAGGGGGGGGGGGGGGTTGCGTAAAGATTCCAATGCGAAGGGGGAAGAGGGAGGAAGGAGGAGAGAGGAGGAGATGGGGGGGGGCGTTAAGGATTCCAAATGCGAATGGGGAAGAGGGAGGAAAGAGAGGAAGAGAGGAGGAAAGAGGGGGGGGTGGCGTTAAGGATTCCAAATGCGAAGGGGAAGAGGAAAGGAAGAGGGAGAAGAGAAGAGGAGGGGGGTGGGGGTGGCGTAAAAAAAAGAGAGTAAAGAGAGAGGGAAGAGAAAAGTAGGAGGGTGAGAGGAAATGGAAGGATGGGAAGATTAAGAGGAGGAGAGGGAGAAAAAACGAGGGAAGGGGGGGGGGGTAAGGAAAAGAGAGGGGGGATGGGAAAGTAAAGGAGGAGAGAGGGAAAAGGAAAGAGGAAGAAAAATGACGAGGGAGAGAGAGCGAAGAGAGAATAGCGGACGAAGGAGAAAGAAGCGCGAAACGCGGTAGAGAAAATAAAAGGAAGAAGAGATAACCCAGAGAGAATAAAAGAGAGAGAGAAAGAGAGAGATGAATGCTTTGTCGATGGCTGCTCTTCAAAGGTTAAACTACTTCAAAAATTTGAAATCAGCGCCATGAATCTCCTTTGTCTATTCTCTCTCTTCCTATTTTTCTCTCATTCTCTCTCTCTCTCTCTCCCTCATCCCAACTTCGCTCCCTCCTGTAACTCCCTCCTATCTTCCATCCATAGCTCCCCTCCTTCCCCCTCTCACTCTCCTTCCCCTTCCCCTCTCCCCTCTCTCTCTCCTCCTCCCCCCTCT